GCCCTGACGGGTAAAGGTTTTGGGGAGAGTGTAAGGGCGAAGCTCACCATCCGTCGCATGCACCCAGGGGGCTCGTTTTCTGAGCCGCTCCTTCTTTGGGAGCTACCTGGGGAGCACCCAAAATCATCCTACAACTAGCTTAGGGCACAGGGTTAGGGTTTAGTAGGGGTTCAGGTTTCGGGTTCAGGGTTTAGGGCTTTCGGTAGAGCATCGGGATTTCTAGCGCTACCTCGAAACTGGGCTCTGCATCAAGGGCCGGTAGGCCTCAACGCCCAACCCTAAATCCTAACCCTCAACCTCACCTCAACCCTAAAACCCTAATACTAAAACCCTGGGGGGGAAGGAGGGGGAGGGGGGGGTGTGCACGTGTAAGGATGACGGGAATTTGAGAGGATATAGGGCTTGGGTCTGCAACATAAGGTGTGGAGGGAGCACTTATGTGTTGCGAACTACTAATCCCTAAGCCCTAAGCCCAAGCCCTAAGCCCTAAACCCTAAAGGACCTGAGCCCTAAACTTATAAAGCCCTGAACCCTAAATCCAAACACCGTGCTTCAGGCACAAGACCTACTGGAATGACTTTGCTACTGGGAGGTTCAGGGTGCTTACAACCCCGATGTTGCAGCGCATGTGAACCCTAAACCCTAAACCCTAACCCCTAAACCCTTGAACCCTGGGTTCCTTTGGGCATTGAGAGCCTCAGGTTTTCCAGGGTTTAGGGTTTAGGGTTTAGGGTTCAGGGGTTTAGGGTTTAGGGTTTAGGGTTTAGGGTTCAGGGTTTAGGGGTTAGGGGTTAGGGATGTGGATGGATGGATCTTATCGGGCTTGTTGGTCTGAGGAAGAATTGGACCAGTCTAAGTACAATATCTCTGCGCTACGACCTAAAGACCCGACCGATGTTCGCACTACGACGTTCCCTAAACCCTAAACCCTAAACCCTAAACCCTAAACCCTAAACCCTAAACCCTAAACCCTAAACGGTCCCGAACCGAACGAAAATTCGCAAGGCGAAGCCGAATCAAAGAGGACCTCATTCGAGCCCTAAGCCTTCTAAACCATAAACCTTCCAAACCCTAAACCCCGCACAATCGACCCCAAACCCCAAACCCCAAACCCTAAGCCCCAAAGCCTAAAACCCCAAACCCTAAACCCCGAACCCTAAACCCTAAACCCTAAACCCTAAACCCTAAACCCTAAACCCTAAACCCTAAACCCTCAGGTGGATCACCTTAGAGGTCAGACTGGCGCGGCGTCACTAAAGCCTCCCCGCTGTCGGAGAATGGGCTCCTCGGCTTTAGGGTTTAGGGTTTAGGGCTAGGGTTTAGGGTTTAGGGTTTAGGGCTAGGGTTTAGGGTTTAGGGTTTAGGGCTAGGGTTTAGGGTTTAGGGTTTAGAGCTAGGGTTTGGGGTTTAGGGTTTAGGGCTAGGGTTCAGGGCTAGGGTTTAGGGCTTGGGGTTTAAGGGCTCAGGACTTAGGGTGGAGAGGCTGAGGGTGGAGGTTTATGTCAGGGTTGCGGTTTGGGTTTAGGGTTAAACGCTCGGCGTTTAGGTTTTAGGGGCCTTGTAGCTTTCTAGGGTTGAGGCTTTGGGGGCTTGCGGAGATTTTCATGACGATTGGGTTTCGGGTTTTGCGGTTTCGGCGGTTTAAGGTTCTGGTTTTTTGGTTTAGGGTTTAAGTACTTAGGGTTTTCGTGTCTGCACGTGTTTAGGGCTGTAGGACTTTAGTGTTTAGGGCTGTGAGTCTTGAAGTTTAGGCTTTAGGGTTTTAGTGTTTAGGGTTTTAAGGCCCTGGAGTAACCCGCGTGCCCTTAGCGAGGGAACTCCCTGAATTCTTGGCTGGGCTTCAACTTGTTGAGATTATTCCTCACCTTATTGAGATGCGTAGGCAAGTCTAGGTACCCTGATACCCCCCCCCCCCCCCCCCGCGCCCCCAAAAAACACAAAAAGACGAAGGGTTTTCGGGTTCGAGGTTTTCGGGTTTCAGGTGAGGGTTCCAGAACTACCTGTTTTGACGGCCAGCGTGCCTGAGGGGGCGCGCTGGCCTCACGTCGGTCCACCCTAAACCCCCAATGTTCTAGGGGTCTGGCGGGTTTGTCGTTTAGGGGGTGGCCGTTTAGAGGTTTCGGAGTCGGGACAGCCCTTAACCCCATAAATGCCAAACCTAAACCCTAAAACCTGGCAGGTTCTAGGGGGTCTGGAGTTTAAGGAGGTTTAAGGCTTGTGAACCCTTCATATAGCCCCCGAGGGTCCCTTCTTGCGGGTGTTTCTGGGACATTCTGATGAGTTCTTGTTCTGGAGGGGAGATAAGTTCCACAACAAGGGTCCTCTACTAAACAGGAGGTCTCCTTATGACTACGATGGTAACTTTTCCAAGTTCCTCGCCAAGAGCACGTTGAAGGCGTGTCAACCCTGAACCATGAACCCTGAACCCTAAACCCTACAACATCTAAACCCTAAACTCTAAACCCATAAAGCCTGAACCCTAACCAGCTGAACCCTACAACACCTCAACCCTATAACACCTGAACCCTAGAACACCTAAACCCTAAACACACGCTAAACCCTAAACCCTAAACCCTAAACCCCAAACCCTAAACTCTAAACCCTAAACCCTGAACCCTAAACTGCAAAAGCGTGCAGTGCCAGGCTCGCCAGGCGAGCCATTGGCGCCACGCGCTCAAAGAGTTGCCCCGTCCTCGGCTGAAAGGGTTTAGGGTTTAGGGTTTAGGGTTTAGGGTTTAGGGCTAGGGTTTAAGGGCCAGCATTTAAAGGCTGCGGGGTGCTCAAGGATTTCGGGTTTGGGGGTTAGAATAGTTTGCAGGGCGGGTTCTGGGGTAGAGCCGCAGCGGCCTTGGCCTAAACCCCACAACCGAAAGTTTAGGGTTTAGGGTTTAGGGTTTAGGGTTTATATGGTTTAGGAACCCTAAACCCCAACTCCCCGCACCGAAGCTCCTCTGACTCGGATCCCTCCTTTACTCCCTTGCCTCTGCGAAAGGGCACCCTTTCTGGGGTTGGTTCCTTTTAAAAGTCGAACATTGAACCGAACAACGGGAAAAGGGTGTAACTGGGCTGCCAGGCGTCACTTTTGAGACCCTAAACCTTTAACCCTGAACCCTGAACCCCAAAACCCAAACCCCAAACCCCAAACCCCAAACCCTAAACCCTAAACCCCAAACCCCAAACCCCAAACCCCAAACCCTAAACCCTAAACCCCAAACCCTAAACCCCAAACCCCAAACCCCAAACCCCAAACCCCAAACCCTAAACCCTAAACCCTAAACCCTAAACCCTAAACCCTAAACCCTAAACCCTAAACCCTAAACCCTAAACCGCCGAGGCGCGTCATCTTGGAGACCGGCTGCGCCGCCTCGGAGATCTGGCGGCTCACCATGCGCGACACGGGTGGCGAGGCCACGGGAGCCCGGCGTGCAATCTCCTCTTCCTCATGGGTTTTTGGGTTTAGGGTTTAGGGTTTGGGGTTTGGGGTTTATAGGGTTTGGGGTTTAGGGTTTCGGGGTTTAGGGTTTGGGGTTTAGGGTTTTCCGGGTTTAGGGTTTCGGGTTTAGGGTTTTCCGGGTTTAGGGTTAGCCTGGGTGTAGGACTGTAGGACACTAACCCCTCCCCCCTCCCCTTTTCCAATGCCTTGAGGTTTAGGGCTTTTCGGGCTGCAGTGCTTGAGGGCTTCAGGGGCTGGGGTGCAAAACTCTAGTACCGTCGGAAGGGTTTAGGGTTTAGGGTTTAGGGTTTAGGGTTTAGGCTATAGGGTTTGGGGGTCAGGGTTTAGGGTTTAGGGTTTAGGCTATATAGGGTTTAGAGTTTGAGAACTCTGAAGCCGCTGGTGGGCCACAGAGCTTCAGGGGGCCAGGAGTGACAAAGTCTAGCGCGGGGTACGGGATCCGAGTTCATCGTTCATGCTCATTCATGTGTTTCTTAAGGGTTGTGCTAACCTTAACCCCTAAACCCTAAACCGTAAACTAAACCCTGAACCCTAAAAGCCCCTAAACGTTGCAGAGTAGCAGCTCATACAGCCAAGCAGCCCTTCGCGCGAGGAAGGTCGAGAACTGCTCCTTGCAAGTTCCCGGAGAGTAAAACCCTGGTTTAGGGTGTTTAAGGGGCTTACAAGGTTTAGGGTTAGGGAACCCGAACCCTCAACCCAAAACCCCAAACCCTAAACCTCAAACCCTTGGGGTATGGGAAAACTGGCGATAAGCATCATGACGCTTCTGTCCTCCAAGATCACGCGGGCCCGCTGCTCGTCGGGGAAGATTAACCTTCCGGGACTTAGCCCACAACCGCATCGCAAGCCTGGATACCGTGCTTAGGGGCCTGTGTACCCTATACCCCAAACTCATGTTGACCCATCTCGGGCAGAATGCATCATATGAGAATACAGGTCGAGGAACCCTAAACCCTAAACCCTAAACCCTAAACCCTAAACCCTAAACCCTAAACCCTAAACCCTAAACCCTAAACCCTAAACTGTTTCGGGCTAGGGTTCTCGGGTCTGGTGGAAGAGCCGCAGGAGCTGGGAGGGCTCAAGTGCTTCGAACACAGGATGGGGGGGGGAGGGGGGGATCATTTCATGCCACTGATTTTCGACTACTTGCCTAGGAACCTCCCAAAAAGGAACACAATCATGATCCCCATAGTGCCCTTATAGGGAAGAAGCTTATGATTTTTCTTACTATTTAGAAAAACAAAACATATATATATATATACATATGTTGCTAGTTCATTTTGTTTTTTGGGGGGGTCCATAAGCAAACAGTAGACTTTCGGGGGTCAGCACTGCCAGCTCTGAAGATGGGCCATGCCATGAGGGCGCGCGTCCGTGCTTTTCTGCGCCCGGGCTGATGGACTCGGCACTTTAGGGTTTAGGGTTTAGGATTTAGGGTTTAGGGCTGAGGGGTTTAGGGTTTTAGGGTTTTAGGGTTTAGGGTTTATGGTTTAGGGTTTAGGGTTTAGGGCTTAGGGTCTCCAAGACCGAAGATCGCTTCTCCGGGTCATATCTGCCGCTCAACCACGGTCTCGGTGTGGAGGGCTTCGAAGCCCATCTCGGCCGCAAAGTCCTGCCTTGGATGGTCCGGAAAAACCTGTGACAAATATGCCTGAATATGGTCCTCTTAAACCCAATAAGGGAAAAATACCAAAAAGATCCCCAGGGCCTACCTAGGGCTGCTTGCCTCATATAGGGAATTTAGAACCCAAAAAGTAAAACACCGTAAACCCTAAACCCTAAACACTAAAGCCTAAACCTTAAACCCTAAACCCTAAACCCTAATAACCCTAAACCCTAATAACCCTAAACCCTACTGAACAACCTAGTTGCTTCAACTTGACGAAGTCGGCCTTAGAGAGCTTGATCTTGGCATCGCCTTTCTTCACGGAGAGCTCCCCCATCTGACCTCAGTTGCTGAGTTCATAGGCCCCCAACCCTAAACCCTAAACCCTAAACCCTAAACCCTAAACCCTAAACCCTAAACACAAACCACCCCCCCCCCCCCCCCCCCCCCAAAGTGGACACTTTCAGGTCTCGAGAGATTTTACAGCATCCCCCCTCCCCCCCCCCCCCCCCCCCCCTCCAAAAAAAAACAAAATTAAAAACGTCCAAAGTGTCCTCCTTCAGCTAGCTAAGTCACTGAGTCGATCGAAGTCTTCTTCAGGCTGCGGCTCGTATCTGAGGGTGTACTGGTCCTCGCCGATCCAGAATTCGGTGATTCCTTGGAACCTTAGTAGCCCCGACATAGGGTTTAGGGTTTAGGGTTTAGGGTTTAGGGTTTAGGGTTTAGGGTTTAGGGTATAGAGTCTGGGTTTAGGGTTTAGGGTTTAGGAAACCATATCAAAATAAGGGCACCCCTTTTTAGGGTTGGCTACTTTATAAGGGAGCCTCGAAGCCCCAAAAAAGGGTAAAGGGTACCACTAGGCTGCCGAGGAACTGAGTGACCGGTTGCTGGGGAGGCACGCAACCGATGTCCGCAGTGATGAGGGACCGATCAAAGAAGATGTCGTAAGGGTCGAAATCAGCCTTGTCCGGGAATAACCTAGGAATAAAAAAGGGTACCCTTTTTGGTTTTAAGGGCACCCCAACCCCAAAAAAAAGAGGAAAAAAGGGCCTACTCCCGGTCCTAGCAGCTGCGTTGCTGTCGCCGAGATTCTTGCCGCTCAGAATGACTGAGCTAGTCATCAAGTAGCAGAACCCTTGTTCGTCCATCGCCCATGGGTAAGGGACATCACTGTTGCCAACGGGAGAGACAAACCTCCAAGGGACTAAAGGAGGGACCCTTGTTAGAAGGGACCCTGAAGGCCATTCAGGGGTATTTAGGGCTACTTAGGTACATAGGCACGATAATGAGGTATATAAATAAATAAGCAAATATATCAAATATATATATATATATTGATATTTTAGTACTTATAATACATTTAATGATTTACTTATTTATAGGGGCTCTATAGGGGGATAAGATTCAGGGGTCCCTTTCTAGGGTTTCCTCCTGAATACCCCCCCCCCCTTTAGTACCTTGTGATACGCGACTTCGCGGCGAAGGAGAACACTTCCTCACCAATGAACACCTTGGCTACTTGGAGGTGCATGGTACTTATTCACCAATTATAGCTTTATAGGGTTTAGGGTTTAGGGTCTGTACTTACAACTTTGTGGAGTTTCATGGTCCTTATTAAACAATTATAACTTTATAGGGTTTAGGGTTCAGGGTCCGTACTTATAACTGTACTTATAACTGTACTTGTCACGGTACTTAAAAAATGTACTTATAACCATATTAGGGCACTTAGGGGGCTTGCAAGTGGGCTATAAGTACAGTTCTAGTTGGTTAGTAAGTACCATGAAGCTCCAAGTAGGAAAAGCATGTGCAAGGAATTCCTCAACAAGACCCGTTGCCATCCAAAAGCGTACACGTAAAACACACCACATCCCAAGCCCTAGCCAAAAAAACATACTTCAAACCCTCCAAGGCCCGATACTTCAAAATATCCCCAAGTCCTAGCGAGACACGTACTTCAAGTCCTCCAAGTGCAGCAAGATGGAGTTTCCATCCTTGGCTGCCGAGTAGCGGTTTGGGGTTTAGGGTTTAGGGTTTAGGGTTTAGGGTTTAGGGTGTTGCAATCCTGGTGCATCCTTCTTTAAGTCTTTGGGAGTGAACTTGCGGGGGAACCAGTGAACCTTGAACCAACAAGAAAGTGGGAAAAGGGTGCCACTGGGCTAAACCCCAAACCCTAAACCCGAAACCCGAAAACCTAAACCCTGAACCCTAAGAAAAAAACCCTAAACCCTAAACCCTGAACCGTGCACCCTAAACCCTCAACCCTCAACCCTCAACCCTAGACCCTGAATTCTAAACCCTAAACCCTAAACCCTAAACCCTAAACGCCGAGCATCGAAGGCGACGCTGTGCTCTGGACTCTGCCCCACAAAGACCCGATCTGCGGAGAAGGAGACGGTGGGCTCTTCCTTAGGTTGCCCAGCAACCTGTGATTACAAGAGGGTTCCGGTTTAGGGTTTAGGGTTTAGGGTTTAGGGTTTAGGGTTTAGGGTTTAGGGTTTAGGGTTTAGGGTTTAGGGTTTAGGGTTCTTCCGGGAACCTAAAGCCCCCCCCCCCACCCCCACCCCCCCCCCCGCCCCCCCCCCCCCCCCACCCCCCCCCCCGCCCCCCCCCCCCACCCCTCCCCCCGCACCCCCGCCCCAACCCCCCCGCCCCCACCCCCCCCCCGCCCCCCCCCCCGCCCCCCCCCCCCCCGCCCCCCCCCCCCCCCCCCCCCCCCCCCCCCCACGCCCCCCCCCCCCCGCCCCCCCCCCCCGACCCCCCCCCCCCCCCAAAAAAATAAAAAAAAAGAAACAAGGGATGAACTGGGCACTCCGAGCATCTTCGTAGGGTACCTTGACTTCCTCCTCGCCGTCCCCATCTCCTTCTTGCTGGCCGCCCGGAGGGTTTAGGGTTTAGGGTTTAGGGGGTTTGGGGTTTGGGGTTTAGGAGCTCCTTGCGGGCCGCCGGCCAACTGCACCATGAGGGGATGTGTGGGGTCCCCGAACCTGATTGTTGGGGCTAGGATGTTCCCCCTTATACTAACAGTCCTGAATAGACCGGTTTAGGGTTTAGGGTTTAGGGTTTAGGGTTTAGGGTTTAGGGTTTAGGGTTTAGGGTTTAGGGTTTAGGGTTTAGGGTTTAGGGTTTAGGGTTTAGGGTTCTATAGTAAGGGGGTACTATAATCCCTATTTGGGACTGTTAGTATTAGGGGGAAGATCCCGAGTTGGGGTACTCCTCAAAAATCGTCATGCTTGTTCCTTTTAAGAAATCATAGAAAGGTAAATGAGTTTCAACAATGACCCAGGAACAACTGCTGTGCAAGATCTCCGGCCGTTAAAACCCTGACCTTCGCACCCGATCCAGCTTCGTCTTCGTTATCGTCGTCGTCCTTTTCCTCGTCCTCAAGACCCAGGAATAACCTAGGAATAATCAAAAAGGTGCCCTTTTTGGTTTAATAAGGGAACCTAAACCCAAAAACAACAAACGAACAACGGCCTAGACTGCGGGGGTCCTCCTCCTTGTCCTCCTCGTCCTTCTCCTCGTCCTCCTCCTCTTCCTCCTCTTCCGCCTCACCCTTCATCTTGAAAACCTTTATCTGGGCCTTGGCACCCGGCCACTGCACTTCGACCTTGAATGGCCGGCCACCATTGTCCTTGGCTGCTCTTAGCAGGGTAGCTATAAATTGACTTTTTAGCTGCCTTGTCTCTTAACCCAATGAACCCAAAAAGGCTAAAGATGTAAAGTTACAGATAAGCACCACAAAGTGTCATGAATATGGTAGATACCTGCAGGTTGTCCAAGACCTTGCTGCCCCTCTGCTCTCTCAGCTGCAGTCTTCGCAGTTTTGGCCGGTGGCTCCGGTACCTCCGCGGCTTCTGCGGCCCGCTTCATGGCGCGGAGGTCGCTGGTGGCACACGATTGGTGCCGAAACCGCCACGGGAATCCGTAAACCCAAGAAAGCGGCTGCGCGGGCGAACTGTGAAGCTACGAGAATAGCCCTAAACCCTAAACCCTAAGCCCTAAACCCTAATCCCTAAACCCTAAACCCCCCCTAATGATAGCCCAAAACCAAGGAGGTTGCAGGGGCCTCACAGGGCTTGCAGTGTTTGGGCTGATGGAATGAACTTCGGGCTTCAGGGATTACGGTTTAAACCCTAAACCCTAAACCCTAAACCCTAAACCCTAAACCCTAAACCCTAAACCCTAAACCCTAAACCCTAAACCCTAAACCCTAAACCCTTTAATCCTGAATCCGAAACGCTAAACCCAAATTTTCGGGCCACCTGCGGTTGAGGGTTTTGGGTTTAGGGTTTAGGCTTTAGGGTATAGTTCATGGTTGGGATAGTGCTAAAAATGTAAAAATCTATTCCTTATTGAGTTTAAGTACCCAAAAAACATGTAAAATGTTAACCCACTATGACAAAGTCATGGTGACTTGCAGTTCTTTGGGCTTACGGTTGGGAAGAGATTCAGGGTTGGGGCCTCGAGCTTCGAGGATTCCTTGAAGGTTCGTGAGTAGCTAAAATCAGGACTACTTGCAAGTACCCCAAAATCAGATGTCTTGCCCTCGTTACCAGACTTACATCCCAATTTATCCCTAAAACCTAAACCCTAAACCCTAAAACCTGAACCCTAAACCTCTCCAAGTAGGTCGGCATCGTGACGTCAAAGACGTAAGCTCACAACCCTCAACCCCTAAAACCCCAACCTGTAACCTTCGAAAACTCAACATGCAGTGAGCCATACCTAGGGTAGCCTATATTCTCCAGAACAGGAGAAGATGTATCAACAACTGAGGTGAAACTGAGTCCCTTTGGCAACGGTACACAAGTTGCTCTAGGGAACCCTGAACCCTAAACCCTAAACCCTAAACCCTAAACCCTGAAACCTAAACACCCTACGAATGAGCCCTAAACCCTAAACCCTAAACACCAAACTTCGGATTTCTTGTAGGCACCTCCACCGCGGAAGGACGCGAAGCCCTTTCTCACCGAAGTCGAGAAGGGCCTGGCAAGCCGCAAGATCTTGTAGGGTTCAGGGTTTAGGGTTAGGGCTTAGTTTAGGGTTTATGGTTTTTAGGGTTTCTACGGTTCTTGTAGGGTTTGTAGGGTTTCGGGTTTAGACTCCCTGAACCCTAAACCAGAAAACCTTAAACTCAAAGGGTTTAGGGTACTCCCATCCTAAACTCTTTGCCCTAAGCCCCTGAGCCCTAAACCCTAAACGCTTAAAGTTTGTGAGTTTGTAGAGCATCCTAACGATCAAGACAGGGCTAAGGGTTTCGGGCTCAGGGTTCAGGGTTTGAGGTTTAGGGCCTAAACCCTAAACCTTAAATCCTAAGCCCGAAAGCCCGAAAAAACACCAAGTACAAAACCCTAAAACTTATGGGTCTAGGGTATAGATGAAGGTGATATACATCTGGGTGAGATGGAGCGATAGGATTTAGTGCCTGTAGAAACATGATGCGGGCATTAATCTAGTATAGGGTCCTATAGTGAGTCCAGGAAACCACAGAAAGCAAACAACATCTTGCCAACCCTCAGCCCTACCCGACATCCCTGAACCCTAAGCTCCTAAAACCCGATACCCACAACTCCTAAACCCTCAACTCCTGAAACCCGAAAGCCTCAACTTGCCCTAAACCCTCCTAACCCCTAAACCCCAAACCCTCAACCCCAAACCCTTCTCCCCAAACCCCAAACCCTAAACCCCAAACCCTAAACCCTAAACCCCAAACTCCTAGCCCTCCTACACCCCCCGCGCCTGCAGCGACGCCTCGCCATAGGCATCCTTGAGGAGGACGCTCAGGGCTTCGGAGTCGCCTCTGATCAGGGTTTAGGGTTTAGGGTTTAGGCTTTAGGGTTTAGGGTTTAGGGTTTAGGGTTTAGGGGCTTCGGGTTCAGGGTTTAGTGTTGAGGGTTTCGGGTGCAGGAACCAGGGCTTTCGGTTTAGGGTTCAGGGTTTCAGGGTTTCGGGTCTAGGGTTTAAGGTTTAGGGTTTAGGGCTTACCAGAACCCCTCCCAACTACCGGACTTTACCTACATCCAAGGCCTTACAGCCCCTATTGATAGGGTAGTTGGCGAGTCTAGGAACGGTGGTTTGTTGGGTTCAGGGTGTAGGGTTCAGGGTTTAGGGTCAAGGTTTCGGGCTGAATGTTTTATCGTCTTTGTTTAGGGCTGTCTCGGTTTTTTTTTTTTTTTTTTTTTTACGGATTTTTGCAAGTTCCTACAGGGTGTATTCAGAGTTTGCTTGTAGTTTTTCAGTTTGAGGGTTTAGGTTCGAGGGTTTCAAGGAATAATTTGGATGCTATGGTGGTTTTCGGGCTCTTGCTTTCCGGTTTGTTTAGGCTGTTACTCATGACTTTAGAGCCTTAGATGCCCTAAACCCTAAACCCTAAACCCTAAACCCTAAACCCTAAACCCTAAACCCTAAACCCTAAACCCTAAACCCTAAACCCTAAACCCCTGCGGACCCCTCAACTCGCAGCCAAGCTGCTCGAGGACCAGACCGATGCCTGCATCTTGAGCTCACCGAGGAGGAATGCTCCAAGCGCGTCTGCCTGCGCAAGCCCTGGAAGCCCGAAACCCCAAACCCTGAACCCTGAACCCTAAACCCCTAAACCCCTAAACCCTAAACCCTAAACCCATACCCTGGTAAACTCCACACACCAAAGCCCCCTCAGCCTTCATGACCCTTGACTTAGAGCCCTGCGTAGGGTTAGGGTTTAGGGTTTAGGGTGTGGCAGTGGCCAGCTGAACGCAATAGCGTGAAGACATGCCCACCCCAAAGCTACCCAGTCACAACTCGCAGCGAGCCAAAGCAGAGCCAGCCAAACCAAGCCAAAGCCATTCCAAATTCCTTTGTCAATCATGTTTAAGGAACCTTTGAAACGTTTGGGAAACTTGGAACTTTTGGCAAAATTTCGGTGAACTTGTTGGCAAACTTTTTGGCAAACTATTCAGGTTAACCCTAAACCCTAAACTCGTGGGCCAGGGACTTACTCAGCTCGAGCAGAGCCTGCCATGGTCTCGCTGAACGCTCGACTGCGCACGCCTACTCCAATAGAGGTGAGAGGGGTGGCGGTAGGGGTTAGGGTTTAGGGGTTTAGGGTTTAGGGTTTAAGGTTTAGGGATTAGGGTGTTAGGTTGCTTACCAAGAGGTGGCATGCTTCGATGAAGTGTATACCGATCCTGGGCTTACTGGTTCTTCATAGGGAAATCAGGCATCCTTATAAAAGCACCAGTAAGTCACAAAGCCTGCATGCCGGAAAGCCACTTGTTCAAGCGATAACCCCCCCCGCCCCCCCCCGCCCCCCCGCCCCCCCCCGCCCGCCCCTCCCCGCCCCCCCCCCCCCCCTCCCCTCGCCCCCCCCGCCGCCCCCCGCTTCCCCGCCCCCCCCCCCCCCCCCTCCCCCGGCCCACCTCCCCACACCCCTCCCCCCACCCCCCCCGCCCCCCCCCCCGCCCGCCCCCCCCGCGCCCCCCCCCCCCCCCCCCGCCACCCCCCCCCACCCCCCCCCCCCCACCCCGCCCGCCCCCCCCCCGCCCCCCCCCCCCCACACCCCCCCCCCCCCCCCCCCCCCCCCCCCCCCCCCGCACCCCCCCCCCCCCACCCCCCCCCCCCCCGCCCCCCCCCCCCCCCCACCCCCCCCCCCCCCCCCAAAAAAAAGGACCCAGGAGTAAGCTAGGAATGAAAAGGAGTTACCATAAACCCTAAACCCTAAACCCTAAACTACCCTGCCACGACTTTTGTCTTCTCTATCGGCAACAAGTTCTGACGTCTCTGTGGGCAGCAAGTGCTGACAAAGTCGCACGCTAAGGATTGAAGGACTGCCTGGCCTCCGCACCCTAAACCCTAAGCCCTAAGCCCTAAGCCCAAAACCCTAAACCCCAAGCCTAAACACAACACTTCTTCGGCTCAGTCCTTTGTAGAAGAGCTACTGCAGGAGCTGGCCCAGCAAGCTCCAGCCATTGGTGTGGGGGATTGTAAGGGTTTAGGGTTCAGGCTTTAAGGTCTACAGGGTGGGGCCCCCTTACTATACTAACTGTAGTTAAGGGACTTATAACCTAACTTAGGGTCCTTATAACCCAATTTAGGGCCCTTATAACTCTACTTATAACTAGGGGGCCCCACCCTGTAGGGTTTAGGGTTGAGGGTTCAGGGTCGAGGGTTGATATGGGCCCTTGGCAATTCTGGGCCCTTAACAGGGGATCCCTTATATACCCCTTAGGGGCCCACACATCAGAACCCTTTCAAGGAGGTAAGGGACCATATTGAGGGCCCATATAGCTACCCTTAGAGTTCAGGGTTGACTGCTTATACCCTTAGAGTTTAGGGTTTATTGCTTAAAGGGCTTGGGTTCAGATAACAGCATAAAGGCTTTAGGATTTTATTGAGGGTTTAGGAAACACATTACGGCATAAGGGGTTTAGGGCTGATGTTACGGCATAAGGCGTTTAGGGTTTTATAACGGCATGAGGGGTTTAGGGCTCACATTGTGGCATAATGGTTTAGAATGTAAATGCACCTTATTATCAGATGTATGCACCTGTGAAAAAACAAACAAGCAAAGCATCATACTAAGGGACCATGTGGTTGCCCATGGTGCATGGCGCAGGCGACGTTTCAGTGTCCAGGGGGTTCAGGGCTGAACTATGGACCAGCTAAGACGTGACCACTGCAAAAAGTTGGTAGATACGAGTAACCCTGCCCCGAACCCTACACCCTCCGACTTAGGCTCCGGCGAAGTTTTGGATTAGTGACTTGAGGTTTGGGTTTAGGATCATTCGGATCTGCGGTTTAGGTCTAGACCCAAAAGCCCAAAACCCTAAACCCCTAAATGTAAACCCTGATTCCTAAACCCTAAACCTGAAGAAGTCTGCCAGTTCCCGCAG